TATTTTTAATTATTCTATTTATTTTTTATTGGCCCTCATTTGTAGTGACACTTATCAACACATTTAAAAAAAGCATTTATAGAACACGGCCACTCCTTTATTTTCTTAATTTATAAAAGGAAACATTTCTCAATAAGCTTCAATGCACATTCTGTACCTTATGTTATTTATTTATTTATTTATTTATTTATTTATTCAGTTTTTCTTGTTTGTATGTGGCTACATAACGTGAACCAAGAATAAATATGATTCAAACAATCTTTACAAAAAACTTTGACAAAAATACTGCGTGGCATTTCAGTCAGAGTTTAGTCAGACTTTAATTGTCAGAGATTCTTTTCGTAGAAAATATTTAAATTCTTACAGTTAATATTTCACATAGCACCAATTTTGTTGGTGGATTTTTTTTAATATATATTTTTCAATTATTGGCTGCAGGAAGTTGACCTTCACCTTTGAAAAAAACAAACAAAAAAACCAGCAGCTGTACATGAGGAAACTTTTAGAAAAGCATTTGAACATCACATAACAAGTGTATGTATGGAAGCTAATTTCTGCCAGCGTGATTTAAATCAGTTAAATTTGATTTATAAAACCCAATATCACAATCACTTTTTGTCTCAGAGGGATTTACAGCATACAACATCCCTCTGTCCCCGGACCCTCACAGCAGATATTGGAAAAACTTTCTTCAAAATAATGACTCCTGAGCTCTGAACATAGCCTAAAAACATTCAGTAAGGAGTCCTTAGCTTAGGAGTGATTAGGAACGTTTTCAGAGCAACTCTGAGCAAGGAAGAGACAGAAACTTTTACCTTGGTGTGGTTGATCCAGATGCTAGGTATGATGCATTCTATTAACAGGTGTGATTGGTTGTCACAGACACACCTTTTGTGAGCCTGCAAGGTGAGGACACCCAGTGGACATGAGATGAACTGCAGACTGTGAAAGTGTTGAGACAGACTCAAGTCATCACTGCTGCACCGTTGTGTTTGTACAGTTTCCCAAATATCTTATGCTGTGTCTCAAATTGCGTACTTCTGTACTTACACTTAAAATTTGGAGTGCATAAGTGCATTCACACTGACAAGTATGGAAAAATGCAGTGCACTATGAGTACCTGGATGGTGCACTCATAATGGTCAAGAAGTTGAGTGTGGAACTATGGACATTTCTCGCCCTCAATGGTCACCATCTTGGCTACGTAGCAGAAGAAGAGGGGCCACTTTTCAAACTGGAAATGGCGGCCGAGGACTGTGCGACCTTGATCGTCCGGTTTTCTGCACTAATCACCACTATACTGTTGTTGGGTATAAACCAGCAGTATGTTTATTGGGTTAATTTAGCAGTCTGTAATGATTTGGTACCGCTAGGCTGACCAAACGTCCTCTTTTGCCCGGACATGTCCACTTTTCACGTCCCGTCCGGGGGGGTTTTATAAACTGATGATAATGTCCGGTTTTCCGTGTGTTTGTGTGTGTGTCTGTGTGTGTTAGAGTGCGGCACGGGCAGCATATTTCTGTCTGAACCCGAACTGAGCCCGACATTATTTAATGACCAAAGCACTGACTTTGTGTCACACAGTTGTTACGGTTACAGGCTATTTAACAGGCCAGGCGTGCTCAGCGGAGAGGGAAACCTCCGTGTTTGAGACGGGAGCGGGAGGCGGGAGGTCCGACACTCAAGATGCAAGAGGAGAGGGAGACATAAAACAAAATAAGATAAAATAGGAAAAACCTGTCTCCCTCTTTTATTTTATTTTCAGCGTTTAATCAAGGCGGAGGCGGGCGGCTGGAGGTCCGAGACTTCCAGAGAGGAGAGAGGTAGAAACAAACAGCCAATGTGTGTCTGTGTGTGTTATGTTCAGGTGTTGTCACGTAAATAACAGTGCCCAAGCACTAAACAGGACAGACAATAGGATTTTATTTATTTTTACACTACATTTTCACTGAAAGCTGACCGAATCCGACCCGAGCCCGAATACAATTTATAGCTACATTTTTGACCAAACCCGGCCCGACCTGTCGGGTACCGTTGGGCTTGGATCGCCACACTCTAGTGTGTGTATGTGTCCCTAATGGGGCCTATCTGAATTTCTGTCTTTGAGAGATATTATTTTGTAATATAACTGAATTTTCTATCCATACATATAAAATATAAATATATTAAAATGATAAGGCATCTTTGAGTAAGCTGCGAGTATCATTTAAGTAGGCTATGTCTTGGCTGGCCTAATTTCCTCTTTTTTGGAAATCAAAATATGGTCACCCTAGGTACCGCGAATGCTAATGCTAGTTTGCTAACTAGCTAATTTGCGGTCGTCATCTCCAGTGAGTGCACAACGGCCGTATTTGGTTTGAGACAACACTACCCTGTCGAAAAGTTTGCGCACTACGCCAATAAGTACATAGTGCACATAGTATGCTACATGGAAGTGTACTAACAGAAGTATGTGATTTGAGACACAAGAAAATTTTAGTTAGTATGATGATGGGTGGCATGGTGGTACAGTGGTTAGCATTATCGGCTCACAGCAAGATGGTTCCTCTCACCAAAGCTTTTTTAAAAAAATAATGTGAAACTTCCTCAAAATGACGAGTAAGTGTCTGAAAAATATTCTCACTATCTCACACTATCTCGTGACTTTGGGAAAGTTTCTCATCATGACTTGTGGGATCTTACTTTAATAATCACACTGGCAGAAATGGGCTTCCATATTTATGTGTTTCTGTGTTTCTGGGGAAGCAAAGTCACGTCTGATTCTCCTGTAACGTTCAGGAAAAACTGTAAATGAAGAGTCTGAAAAGAAAGAGCTTTTTCCTCTGCTTGTAGTTCTTGCACCTCTGCAGAGGCATGTGGTTTCTGTCGTTCATCCAGGACCCGGAGTAGAGCACACCAGAGCAGGTGTAGCAGGCGAGGGGGTCGCCTCTGTGGGTGTGACCTCACTGTCTGTGTGAGAGTGTGTGTGCGGCATCACTGACGTTTGAGTGTCCTCCACTGTGTCCTCACTGTGAGGCTCCGTGTGCGTCTCAGTCCGCAGGTGAGGGGGGATGTACCCAGACTGGGGCTTTGTGTGCTCCCTGTGATGGTGCTGGTGGCTGTTGGGGGATTTTGCCGGGCAGCGGCCCCTCTTGTCCTGCCCCCGGAAGCCCCTCAGTTTGGGGCTCCAGTGTTCCCGCCACTGGAGGGCCAGAGTGGAGCGGTCCGCCACCAGCCGACTCTCCTCAGGGCCCCAGCCCCGCTCCCCCTCCTCCGCACCGATCAGGAGGAAGGTCCGGCCCACGTGGAGGGCGGGGCAGCCGCAGCTGAGGTCCCGGTCGGGGACCCAGAGGGACTGGGGGCCCCTGCGGACGCGGGAGGTGGATGCTGTGCGGAAGACGGTCTGGACGGAGATGGAGAACTGCCACCAGGGACCTGAACGCTCCATCCCTCTCACCTGCACCTTCAGCACTGAGAAACACAGACACACAATATAAATATAGTTTAAGTTTGGCTTCATTCTTCAGATTTACGGTAGCTTCGATTTTATTTCAGAGGCAAAAATAAGAAAAAGTGAAGAAGAACAAACAGTTTGTGGACTTTATTTTCCTTTTTTTGACAAGATAATAAATAAAAAACATGACACCAACCGAAGTCCTTGAGACAATAGGTCTCCAAGTTCATCCTGACTTTAACCTGAGAGGGCTGGCAGTATGAAACACACTCCTCCGCTACAACAGACACAGAGACAGAGAGGGGGAGGGGGAGAATGCATTAGATGAGAGGGTATCATTTCATAGCGGGCATATCAGCACATGTCTTTTCCCCTAATTACAATATGGCTGCTTCTATTTGTCATCACAGTATCCCGTGACTAACAGATGACCCCATCTGCAGCAGGTGGGACATTCCTCAAGCCGCCACTAGGAGGGAGTGGTTAGCTGCTGCATAAAGAGACAGAGATTCATGTATGTTTTACATATGATAAATATGTATGCTGTATCAACAAGGGAAGTTTAGCGTGAATTACTCTGTCATTATGGCAAAGACGTAATTTCCTTTCACTGAAAGTTACTGTAGACATTTTGATTTTTGAGTCTCAAACATTTATTGTCTGATTTAATTGCAATGTAGATTTTATTCCTCACACTAGTAGCTACAAGGTGTTTTATAAAATTATCACAATAATGTAAATAGATATTAAAAAAGACCAAACAGGAGCAGATGAACCCAAGTGGGACTGAAAGAAAACTAGACGGCGTGGGAGACCCTTAGGTTCAATTATCAATGAGCTGTAAGTATGTGAGAATCCTGGTTTTTCTACATATACTCAACTCTATGATTTATTTAACCTTTTTTAACCAGGAAGTCCCACTGAGATTGAAAATCTCTTTTACAACAGAGACCTGGTCAAGGTAGCAGCCAATCAGAGCACATTTAAAATGCAACAAATACAACATATGATACAAAAATCCACAATAAAACAACAACTAATCATTCATAGTGGCCTCTCTGGGAAACGAGCACATGTCTCTTTATGATGCCTTTAAATTCATCAATGGAAATAAGTGTTTCTATTTTAGATGTTTTTGAAGATTGGTCCATGTCCAAGGTGCAGAGAAGGCGTCCAACCCACCAAATCATAAAGAAAACAGTGATGAGTAAGTGACTTTGCATTTGTAATCCAACAATGATGCATGTGTGTCCCCTATATTGAAATATACTGCAGGGATATGGGGCTTAAAACAATCTAAAATTGCAGACAGGATACAGAATAGAGCCACACAATATTTTCTGGGGCTTCATAGATTTAGAGAGACTCCTTTCCCTGCGATTCAGGTAGACATGGGCTGGGTACCAGGAGCGGTGCAACGAAAATGTGAAATGATTTGATTGTGGAACCGTCTGATCAAAATGGCAGTAAATGAGAAAGTGTTTACGTGGAGTAAATTACAAAGTTCTTTATACAGTTCTGCATTGACTTTACATGTGATTCATGCCCACGAATTGTTTTAATTGCGCCCGGTGTTAAAACAACATAAAAAAGTAAAGTAAATGTTGACTTATTGTTTCACATGGGACATGAACTGTGGTCTCCTGGTCGAAAGTCCGGTGTTTGTTTGACCCATCCACCACCCCAACCTCCTACACACATTAACTTTCTCACTGTTTATACGACCTACGCCATAGCTAGTTCAAAGAGGGGTCGTAACACTAATCAGCGCCCATTGTGTGGCATCGAATTCATTTGTGGTTGTTTTGCCCCATTTTTTTTTTTGTGTCTCTGCTGTTCCTTTGCATCTTTCTTTTTTTTTTTTAGATATTTTTTGGAGCATTTTTAGCCTTTAATTGATAGAACAGACAAGTGTGAAAGGGGGAGAGAGAGAGGGATTGACATGCAGCAAAGGGCCACGCTGGAGTCGAACCCGGGCCGCTGCGGCAACAGCCTTGTACATGGGGCGCCTGATCTGCCACTAAGCCACCGACGCCCCTCCTTTGCATCTTTCTGTGGTCACTTTGAATCTCTTCCTGGTCTGTGAGTGTTCATTTGAGTGACATGTTATAGATGAGGGGCAGCGGGCCCCCTTACATGCCCGGTAGGCCCAGGCATCATTCAGTAATCCCTCCATGGTTAGGTAACCCTTTATACTTTTCAGTCAAACTTACTGCGTTTGCTCTGTACGAAACAAAAGTATGTCATGTAATGTGACGTAATTACCTAAAGGATAATGTGTTCACACCAAATGCAATTCGAGTTTGAACGTTGGAATATTTTGTGTTGACTCACTTCATATTTGCGAATAACTTGCATCGTACGTGCGTGAAATCACTGAATCGATGAGTGAACTTCCACCAGTACGTCCTTGGTGTCAAACGTCCCCAGAGGATCTCATTGCTGGTTGGCTATGGCGGCACGGATTGGTCACTGAAGTTCAGATTTTTCAACTCTCATGAATAAGCATATGACGTAAAATCGTGCTACTTGCTTCATTCATGCCGCTTAATTTGCGTATTTCACGTCATTCGCGCTTGCCCATTGCGTCTTATCGTGTCTTTACATTGACTTTACATGTAATACACTTGCTCAAATTGTTTTGTTCATGCCTGGTGTGAACACAACATAACAACTTAAAGTTAAAAGAACTGACATTGACTTTTTGTTTCACATGGGACATGAGCGGTAGTTCTCCTGGTCGAAAGTCCCGTGTTTGTTTGACCCATGAACCACCCCAACCTCCTTCATACATCAGCTTTCTTGCTCTTTACACTACCTACGCCATGGGTGATATAAAGAGGGGTCGTAACACTAACCAGTGCCCGTTGTGTGGCATTGAATTCATGGGTCCATGACGACAAAGGATCCTATGCAATGTTCCATTAGCATTGTTTATGTGGTGCCAGTTATGTGATTTTAAGTACAGATGTAACAGATGTATGTATTTATTGATAGTTAAAATATTTGTCACTGGTTTCTGCCCGCAGATCTACTCACCTATGCTGTACTGAGGTTGGTAAACTGGGGTCGGAGCAACCTCTTGAATTCCTGCAAACATAAGCACAGTTTCAGGCAGGAGCACGAACACAGAGAAGCTTCAGCATACCCACATGAGCTGTCAGGTTGTGTGTGTGTGTGTGTTATGTGTGTTATGCCTAAACGCCTCTTGGTGTGTGGGGCATGTCTGCACAGAAGATAAGCAAGTGTCAGAAACGTGTGTGTGGTCCTTTTATGGGCCAGAAAACTGAGGCTCACTCTAACACACACACACACATGGATACAAACTTGACTTTTAATAAGGTTGAACCATCACTTCTTGTATGGTTTTGTCTCAAACATTAAACACAGTATATTAAAGTTGCCCGTGTGTCCGTGAACCGGTGCGTACATACATTATCCAGGCCTCTTGTAAAAGTGTGTGACAGTGCTGCCATATTTCACCAAGTTCACACTCCGTCCCCCCGTCCGTGTGCTGTCCTCTCTGACACAACTGGGCCAATGACACCCTACACCCCCCACTTTAAAAAGACAGGAGGGTGCTGTGTGTTTGTATGTATACGTACATACAGTATAGGTGACAGGTCAAAATTGGGTAAATGCATCTGTATTTTTAGATACTGTAGAATAGTTTTGTTACCGATACTAAGACAATATGTCTCTCTATCTGGCTGTGAAGAATATAAAACAGATTTTTCTGTATCTAAATACAAGCAGTCGTACACAGACTTTGTCTTTAAAAAAATAATATGAAAAATCAGACTTTGACTCCGAGGGACTCGGTTCGATTGGGCGGGGAATGCCGAAAAATTTCACACCTTCATTTGGTTCGGTTCACTTTCACACTGCACTTTTTAAAGTGGACCTGGACAACGTCACGCAGTTACAACAGCTGCTCGTTTGGGGGCTGTATTGCCCGAAACGACCTCTGACCAGGAAAAAAAAAAAGCACGGAAGAAGAAAATCCGGCCAGGACCGAAAAACAGAAATCCATCCCCTTCAGCGGGCTTGGTCACCACAAAAAATACGGCGAGCGATGTGCTCTACGTCACTTCCTGTGTTTGGTTCACTTCCTCTCTTTGGTCCATTTACATTTCCCACTGTAAGCGAACAGCACCAGGATTCACTTGCAAGTGAACCGAGACCCCGAGTTTTCAAGCGGACGAGGGTTCGCTCCTTTGGTCCTCACTAGAGTTCGAATGAGCGTTCACACCACTCCAAGCAAGCCGAACTATTCGTGGAAGCGGACCAGGGTTCATTTAAAGTGGACCAAATAGAGCCAGTATGAATACATCCTTCATCATGGTTTAGTCAAACCAGATAACGAGACGATATCCTGGGTACATTGAACTGGCTTTGTAGTACAGGCCTCTGGTCTCATTCTGAAGTCATCAAATACCGGCGCTTGGACAGTGACTTCCTGGTCAGACACCGACGCAAGAAGCTGCCCTTTGTCGTCGGTATGATAGGCGCCATCAGCGTGAAATGGCGCCCAATAGTGTCCAAGGGAAACATGGTCAGACAACCACTGTGTTGCCAAAAATCTGAGGATGCATGTTTGAAAGACGAACATCGGTGAGCAGTAGATGGTTGATTTTAATATTCTGACCCAGAGAAACACTGAACATTTGACCATGGCCAAAACATTCCTTAGAAACCTTTTGAAAAGTCTCCTTTATGTGTCATGTTAAGAGGATATTGAGCTGGGGAACATACTGTAGCTACACTCCTGAGACATATACTTGATTCTCCAAACTTCCTGTGCCGTTCAAAGTGTGGATAAAAAGCTACAGTGGGAGCTAACTTTAAGTTTAGCCTGGCTGCTGCGTGCCTTTTGGTCTGTCTGATGAGAGGCGAGGTGTTAGAGGTGGTGGTAGGGGGTAAGAGATGCTATACATAGCCTGAGATGGTCTGGCAGTAAAAACAAACAAGGTTTTCTTTCACTCACTCCTTTCACTGGGAGAGTTATGGGTCTGGGCCCTGTGATGGGGGCCGTTTTGAGCTGCACAACAGGTGTGAAGCTCGCCGCCGCTGGCTCCCTATGTCACCTGATTGGGGCTTACCCAGCGTCAGTGCCTGTGTGGTTGTCGGCACTCGCGCGATGAGCCGGGGAAGCGCACGTGGATTAGCGCTCGGGGCTGAGGTTCGGTGCTGGCCAGGCGCACAGATACGAGTAGCAACAATCCACTTGATCTGACGCTGATCCCACATCAGCTGGAGATGAGGTTTCCCTGTAGCGGTCAGCTCATGTTAACGCTGCTATGGAAACCATCTCTAGGGATGATGAGAAGGGGACACGCTGGGAGATCGGGCCAAATTAGTCTGGACGGCAGCGGCCCCTTTTATATTGAGCTACTACTTGATAAAGGCTTAGAGAGCTTGATAGGAGGTTTAATCCATTTAGGCCGCGAGCAAATGAGGTTGAAGGAGAAATTAAAGCGGTCACTTTGTTATGATTGACGACAAACTATTAAAAGTTTGATTTATTTAAGTGGGGTGGCATGCAGTGAATGCTGAGAGAAGTTAAGACCCATAATCCATATTAAAACAAGTCCTTGAGCATCTGATCTGAGCTTCATATGATTGTTTTCTGAGCTGCCCTCTTCATGATAAAGGTTTAGGAGACTCAAACTACTTGCACAAGGTTAGGGAAAGACTGTGGTAACTGTTATGACAAGCCAGCGTCGAGGGGAGCTTCTCTTTTAATGTTTTTTCGGCTCTAAAATATTGTGCTACCTTTTTCTTTTGCTCCTCAGAGACAACTTCCACTAGTTTTCCAGATTCTGATTAAACATTAATACTCAGCCCAATTGCCAGAATACATATTGGCATTGTACATTTATACAAACCACTGATATGTTTAATTTGTATGTTATTAACAGCAGATTTGTTGAAACTTTATGTTTCTTTCCATTTTAATAATGCTGTGGTTAATGTGGAGTCAAGTTTAGGCACAAATCCACTTGGTTATGGTTAGGAAAAGCTCATGTTTTGGCTTAAAATACTCACTTTTGGTGCTGGAAATGCAGCAATGTCTCAGTAAAAAATTAACATTTTAGTGGTGTTATCCAGGCAGGAAATGCAGGGATATCTTGGTAAATAAACAACCATTTTCGTGGCCCTATCCTGGCTAGAAATGAGGCAATGTCTCTGTAAAAACAACTGCTATTCAAGGCACTATCCCTGCAGGAAAGGCAACAATGTCAAGGTAAAAAATGACCCTTTTTGTGGCACTACTGGCAGCATTTTCAGACTACCAGAAAATACTACCTTGGCTGGAAGACATGGCAATATATCTGTAAAAACAACTGCTTTTTTGTGGCACTATCCTGGCTGGAAATGCAGCTGTCTTCGTAAAAAAATAGTCGCTTTTCAAGGCACTATCCCTGTAGGAAAGGCAAATGTCTTGGTAAACAGTGACACAAAATAGTGTTTTATGGCACTACCATGCTGGAAGACATGGCAATGTCTCTGTAAAAAACAACAGCTTTTCATGGCACTATCACTGCTGGAAAGGCAACAATGTCAAGGTAAAAAATGACGTTTTTTGTGGCACTATCCCAGCGTGCATACAGTGACATCTTGGTAAAAAAAAATAATGGCTTTTCGTGGCACTATCACTGCAGGAAACGCAGCAATGTATCTGTAAAAACAACAGCTTCTTGTGGCACTATCCCGGCTACAAATGCAGCAATGTCTTGGTAAAAAACAACAGTTTTTATGGTACTACCTTGGCTAGAAATGCAGTGATGCCTCTATAAAAAAAAAAAAAAAAAACCCAAATCTTTTTCATGGCACTATCTCTGGTGAAAACACAGAGACAAGTTGCTGAAAAATACCTACATTTGGTAACTAAAAAGCTGTTGGAAATATAGTAATGACTCACCCAGGCCACTCCATCCACCATCCCCTCCACCTCCTGATGAATAGGTCAGCTCATATACTGTACCACATCGCTTTAGAAATGCTGACATGACATGTGTAACGTACAAAAGTAACGTATCTGTGGTTAACAAATCGTAAAAATACAACATTTTCTTCAAGTGGCTAGGCTGTAGTGTTGGTAGTTGACTTACGTATGCAGGGCCGCAGAGGGGACTTGCCCTGTTTGTATCCCGGGGCACAGCGGTTACACCTGAGGCCGGTCACCCCTTCACGACACAGACACTGACCTGATGTCTGGTTACACCAGCGACCCACTGCTCCCAAAGGATGGCACTGACACGCTGAAAAGGAGAACGAGAAGATTAAAGGGATGCTGATGTCTTATGTTTTTAAGCCTAGAGGTTAAAGCAGCCAGAATTGATGTTTGTTGTTGTTTTTTAGGCTCCTTGGGGGCAGTAAAACAAGCTGAAAATTCTACAGACATACTATTCACTGTATGAAGTTAACAGTGCGGCGTGTTAGCAAACATATGTAATGCTGTGTCTCTTTCCATCTAACATTTTCAGCCCTCTTTTATCTCTGTTTTGGTCTCCACCTGCTCCTGAAGGAAACATCTGGCTCTGGCTGCTAGATGCTCCAATGTGTTCATAGCTAATTGCTAAATTTGCCCACTGTTTGGTGCAGGGCAAGAAGTGTACAACGGTTTATCAAAGCTTTCAACCTAAAACAGCAGCCTGCTGGAAACGGCATTGAACATAGCTAGTTCCTAAAATGTTGAGGCAGATGGTGAGAGGCTGTCAGTAAATAGTTTGTTGGTCACAGGGAAACAGAGATCTGTGTGGGTACATGAGAGCCTAAAAAAGAGGGTGGGTCATGGGGAATACCACCAGTTGGTCCATCCAATTGGACAATGGAAAAAAAAAAGCAGAAATGATGGGGGTGCTTTTTTCCACTCTACGTTTTTTCAACTTGAGGAGTTCAGAGCGCTCTGGCAAAAATGCCAGATGCCTAGAGCGCAGAAACACGAGGCCTGTAGCGACGCAAAAACAGCAAGCAAAAAGCGTAATTCTCATGCTTCAATGCTTTCTGTGTGATCAGGCCTTAATGTGCATGTTAATATCGTCACTGATGAGAGTGGTGAGAGTGAAACAAAACAGAAAAGCTGCACGCTGTAAAACCAAAACATGGAGCTGAAAGATGCTAAAATGCTCCGTAGAAATGAGGGAAACTGTCACAGCTCAAGTTTCTCGGGTTATGTTTCTTATTTAATTCATTCACACATCTCTTGTTTCAGATCACTTCACTTCCTGCCCCTGCCTCTTTATCCTTCCCCTCATCAGAGTATTTAGTGAGGTCTTGTTTTCTCTCAGTGCCAGTTTGCTGGCTTGTGTGTCCAGTGTTCCAGCCTTTTGTTTCCCTGTGTCCTTTGCTTGTGTTTTTGGATTCAGCCTGTTGATTGACTCAACCTCTGCATCATGCCTCCACTGATTCAAACTGTCCTCAGAGTCTTGGGTTTGACTCCAATCTCACCTGGTTCACCAGTTGTTACAGAAACTGCAAAGATGGGTGATCATGCTCTACGGGATTGTCACTACCAGTGATGCCTTTCACATTGCACTTGATCATTTGACACATTTTTTGACATATAAAAAAGTCCACAGTGCAGTTTTAAAGAAGTAGACTTATGACTGGTTGAGACTCCCAGTGAAGCTTTTCGGCTATCATGTCGTAGAAAACTGTGGTTGTGCTTGTACAACCCAGTCTCATTCCAGAGTCGTCGAAATGTGGTGCTTGGGCAGTGAATTGAAAGTTAGGCTGGCAAAAGTCCAAGAACAGTGGGTCGGAGGAGTGATGGATGGGTCAAACGACCACCAACTTTCACCCAGGAGAGCAGTGTTCGCGTCCCATAAGATTCTAAAGCCAAACCCTGTTCTGTTTTCCTAAACCCAACCACTTGCGTTTGTTGTTGAAGGAAAAAAAACAATCAACTCTTTGTGTTGTACCAATGTAGTGCTTGTATTTTGAAAGAGACTGTATGCAAACTGTAAATTTCCTGTATAAACAGAAGTGTATCTTGAAAGAAGACAATGCATGTAACAGGCAGAACTTGACACGGTGTCCAAGAACGTCAACAACCAACACACCCAGGGTACCTTGTATGTCGTAGAAAATCCTTGACCAAATGCCGATATGTGATGAGGTCGGAGTGACAATGTGTTGTATGAACAGAGCAATAGGCATGGAAACAAGTTATATTTGGCTGAGTTGTTCTGGATTTGTGGAGACGACCACATCGAGTTTAGACAACACGAAAGCAAGTTGAAGATATATGAAGCCAAACTTTTGTGACGGCTGCACAGAGGACAGTAAACAGGATTAAAGAGACCATCCATCAGTGACGGGACCCAGGTTTAATCCTGTTTGACAGCATCCGTCCTGAGGGAATGTCCTTGAGCAAAGACCTCTACTCTACCCCATAAAAGCTGGTCTGTAGCTGTCTTGTTGTGCAAACAAAGACAAATTCCCCTGTAGAGCTATCGCCTGAATGTCACATGATGGCGGTGATGATCTGAATTGGTTATTTGTCATGATTTCTCAGGAATAGGAAATAAGGTCCCGTTGTTATCCCTGGTGCTTTCAGCCCACCAAGACGTGACCAATCCTTTGTCTATTTTAATTCATTTCGTCTGTTTTTGTTCTGGTAATGTCGCTGTTGTGATGCTGTATAATGATTACTGCCTGGATTTGCCACGGTTTATACTGCAAAGCTTTTTATTTATCACCACTATCACAGCGTAAGCCCCGATGAGAGAAGACAGATAGGGAGAGGAAGCCGCACTTCAGCGACTCTGCTCACACTCTGGTAATATTTAAATAAATCCTTACAGTGAGTCCAAACAACCTGACTCGAGAGAATGAATAATTGGCCTCTGAAGAGTAACTATGAAATAAAGCATCGGTAAATTAAAGCCGGGACGTGAGACTGTGCGGTGGAGGATATGAATCTGCAGTTTGCTATGGTTTCATAAAAAGTGATAAAATATGGGGACGTTTAATCACAGCTGATATTTTTTGATCCCTGCGTGCATGTCAGACTCAAAGAGAGCCCATTATCTTTGGATATATTAGGCCCGTGGTCAAGCCTCCACATGCCTGAGTGTCACAGTCACTTAGGACATGTGACCAGTCAAAGGTCAGGGGTCACAGCAGATGCCAGCCAGTGGTAACGATGGGGATTCAGGTGGCAGCTCAGTGGGTGTTTTTGTGTGCGAATCGCTAACAGGAATATCTGCCCGCTCTCACAATGTAACCACCCCATAAACACTTGTGTACGGAGACAGAGTGGGCATGTAAACACACAGAGAGACAGTGAGACATAAACACCGTCTCTCAAACTGTGTTTTGCTTTTCATCTTCCAGGAATGCACAGTTGGTTATTTGAGTTACTCGGCCATGCTTATGCGCAAATACACAAACAAGATATACACTTCCTTCATCCCCTTAAAGGAATCCTTCACCCCCCAGATGACCATTGTATATCAGTTTCTCTCCCTGTGCTACACTGAATTCGCGAAGACAACTTGGGTTTCTTGCGTGCCTCCACGGTGACGGAAGAATCCAGGAGGACACGAGAGCTGCTGGTGCACCACTGCCTCAATTGGTCTGTTTGTTTTACTGTGTGACCTTGCCGAATCAAACACTAAAATGCCAAAGTCACACATCTACACAAAGAAACTAGAAAGCTTTACTCAGTGTAGTACAGATCTCTGCCAGGCCAAGCCAGTCTCACTCCGAAGTCTTCGAATACTGGCGCTTGGTCAGTGACTTCTGGCGTCAGACACCAGCAAAAAAAGACCTTTCACATTAGCATGATACATGGCCAGATGCCGTTATTCTGTAACAACGAGCTTCCGCACGTCGCACAGAGCAGATTGATTTTTTTTTATTGCTAATAGGCACTGTATGTGAAATGTAGATTGCCTACAATGTAGCCTAATGGAGGATGAATGTATTTTTAATGGCTAAAACACAACCACAAATCTTTAATCCATGTAATTAATTAATAACTGGACTTTGAACAGCATTAACTTTGTCTGAGGGCTACGACACAGCAAAGTAGGAAATTACAACAATAAACACAATTAAAACAAACAAAAGAAACCATTTAACTACATACTCTGCTAATTTACTCATGTTAGAAGCACAAATATCAAAGAAGAATGTGCAAATCAACAAAATCTGCAAGTCTGACATAAGACTGGTTTGTAGCTGGACCGCAAAGAATTTAGGAAATTGTCCCTCCTGGCTCCCTTACGGTCAAAATGGTGGCAAAAATAACAAAAAATGAGGATTTATTCATCTCATATCGTGCCTGACTTTAGTGGATTGTAACATATTAGTTATGGGATTAATCCGCAGGTGCTACGGTACAAACTTTTCTATGGATGTCAGTTTTTGAGCCGTGATGAATGCCAAAATGTGGCGTGCAACAGATGGAAAGGCTTGTCATTTTTAGTCTCGATGATTCCCTGAAAACTTGCAGCCCCTACAGACTGGTTAAGCGGAGTGAGGAGTCAGCACTCAGTGATGGTATTAAACAGTCAATAGAACAGATTTTTCAATAACTGTGAATCACAGCAACCACGAGAAGTCCTTCATCATAGTCATACATGTGCACACGAAATATTCAGCTGACTGGTCCAGTAGTTTGTGAGCTTTGCTGCAGACAGACAGATACACACATTCTCACACACACAACTAAACACATAATTACACCTGGTGGGGATAACCTATAGATCAAGGCAGCAGTAGACCTGCAGCTCCTGTGTTCAGCAAGGTACAGTAAAATTACCGTTTTACTTTACGTTCAGCTCCTTGTTGGAAAGGCCTGCGTGTTTGGGAGTTACTGAGCATACGACTGGATAAATGAGACTTGAATTATGCTGCACAAGTTTGTTAACTGATGTTTTGATATAGTTTCGCTGTTGTTGAACATGGACCCCTATGACTTAAATTCACAAAGTATTTTCTCCATTTTTGGATTCTTCGTTCAACACGGAGGCATGCAAGAAAAACAAGGTTTTCGATACAAATTCAGCTTTCACAGGGTGAGTAATTGATATAGAAATGATCATTTGGAGCATTCCTTTAACCCTTTTAAACACACACACACATAGTGACTAACGTTGGCAGGCCTTGCGGTGGTTCAACGGCTTGCTGTGGTCGCGGGTGTACCCGTTCTGGCAGTACTGGCAGTGGCGTCCGGCCGTGTGGTGGCGACACTTCTGACACACACCTCCGCTGCGCCGGCCCGACTGCTGAAACACCTCCATGCTGAAGCGACACTTGTGGGAGTGGCCGTTACATTCACAGGCTGGACAAGGGAGAGAAATAATAAATATTAGCGATGGAAATTCTCATCACAAGACCTCACAACCAATGTGTTGGATTGGCTCCGTTTTAATAGGCAACTTTAGGGTCAGGGGTAAGGTAAGGGAAAAACTTTGTCCCAGAGGGGCAATTTGGGTACATACAGTAGTCATGGGTAAAACAAAACAGACAGTACAATACAGACACACAGAATCCAGAATTACACACTGTCAGGGGGGAATCATGGACAATTAGTGGTTAAGATAAGCGATAGCAGATGGAACAAAGGAAGATCCATGTAGGGTGGCAAAACCTCTGCCCTGATGGAAGCATCTGAATCTCTGAAACTTGGGAAAGGGGAAGTTCTTGCATAATTGTTGTGTTATGAAGACGCCACGACGCTGTGACATCTTTGGAGCTGCCGTCTGTTTATTTTCTTGTATACTTGGAACATTTACATTTTCAATCAAGAGCTGACAGCAGAAAGACGACAGGGCGAATTTGACATGCAATAGAAGAAGCCTCGTGCCAGACTCCAACCATGAACCACATGGCCACGACTCAGCAGTTCTTGGTCGGGGCCCCAAACCCTGAGGCAACCAGGGCTCCCTGATTTCGGTTTATCCTGACTTTGACAGATAAAAATGCAGAAGCTCCATGTAAGTAAAATGGCCCAAACCAACTCCTCTGCCACAGGGTAACGATACAGAGGTGGGGCCTGGTGTTATGGCAAACGGTGTGCATGGGGTACATGCAACTCTGACACAAGGTATCCTGAGAGGCTGGGCGACAAGGTGTATTTTTTACACTTTAAACCACATCTCAACCTAGAAAAGTGTCTCCTCTGGATAAAGTTTGGTGAAGTGTGGTAACGTTATATGGTAAATCATGGTAAATATAGGCTGACCAAACGTCCTCTTTTGCCCGGACATGTCCACTTTTCACGTCCTGTCCGGGGCGTCCGGGGGGTGTTTATAAATTGATGATAATGTCCGGTTTTCTGTGTGTGTGTGTGTGTGTGCGTGTGCATAATCCCCGAGAGGCTGCCTTATCGGCGGATTTCCAACACTCACAATGAGGAAGCAGCAGACACCCGCGGCGCAGCATTATTCTAAGCTTCCAAGATGCCGAAGCGCAAGTGCAGCTTCATAGATGAACTGCAGAAAAAATTCCTAACTTACCGTCCCGACCCGGTCGGGATATATGGAAGGCTGAGTGCACTGTGTGCAAAGCTGGCACATATGATTCTGTGTCTAATAAAGGTGCCGCGGACCTCAAAGTTGGATTTTCTAATACAGAAGAGGTATTATTTAGAACATTATGTCATATTATTTATTTATTTATTAGTCCAGTAAGACTTGAAAAGATAGCTAGTATTTTACAAGTTGATTTTTCTAATACAGAAGAGACATTATTTCTATCATTATTTAATTCCAGAGATTTTACATTTATATTTTTTGTACAATTGAAACTTGTAAAAAGATTATTATTTTATGCATAATAACAGCAAGTTGAGTAACCTCTGAGAAGCCTATCTAAATTTCTGTCTTTGAGAGATATTATTTTGTAATATAACTGAATTTTCTATCCATACATATAAACTTTTTAAATATATTAAAATTATAAGGCATCTTATCTTAAGTAGGCTATCTCGTGGCCGGGGCGAGTGTCCTCTTTTTTGGAAATCAAAATATGGTCACCCAAGGTAAATATAAAGTTATCTTTAACATCTCTAGCTAACGTTAGCTAAAGTTAGCCTAACGTTAGCTCCTAGCTGCGTTGTTCATCATGTCACCTTGTTTGCTGGGAGTTCATTAGCCTATTTTGTTCTAGTTTTGTACTTTGGTGATTGTACATCATTGTTAGCTGTTGTCCAAAGGGCTCTAGTTAAGCTAACGTTAACTTCTGGAGCTTAGCTTCATTAATTTATCTGTAATTGCAGAGATAACAAAGGTTGGCAAACGTTATGCTGAATGATTCAGTGTAAATACTGTAGCACCAAACTAACGGAGAGACACTCTTGGTAAAGATGGTGAAAAGGTCATTATCCTTTTCTCATATTCTGAGCCAAAAACCTCAGTGGCACTTTAACTTGTTGTCTCTGATGGTGACGGCAACGAGATGCAGTTCACAAGCGTACACTGTGACCTGTAAATTTTGTCTTGTAATTTAAGCTTTTCATCGACCTTCTCAACAATAAAATGATGAATATATCCCTCCAATGCGTAGTTTAGGCACTTTTGGTTACTTCTCAATGACATCTGATTGTTATGTCCCCAAAAATCCTCAATTGCTTCCTGTGAAATGCCGTGTACTGTGACACCTGCCATAGCGCCGGTCACTGAATGTTGATAGTTTGTCCTAGTGAGTTGAGGGGGGCGTGGCTTAGCCATAGGTCAATTGACGACACGGCACAGACACCCCCAGTTACACACAGATACATTAAAAAGCCTGTCCATATTATCGCCACAAAGTCAAATTAATTGGAAAGTAACTAAATGCCGGCCAAAATTAAAATTCGTGACATGGTGCTTATATAGAAAAGTGTTTGTCAATGCTGAAAACAGCGTTAGCTTGGCTTGTGCTGGTTCAGTAACTCAGTATATTGATTTAAAGACATTAATTTTACACATACAGGCATACGCAAAGTTCAGTTTACTTGTCATGAGGAGTACTACTCAGCCTGTGAAAGCAGATATCATTTCTACTCTGACTCCGGGGGAGAAAATAACCCTGATGTCATCTCAACATCAACATAAGCCCTCCTCGTACAGGACTAATATTACCTGGGGACTTCTACTAATTTGTTGTAATTGCCGAGGTTGTCTGTGATCCTAATCCCCTGCGAGTCTGCCATGTCTGTAATTTGTCAAGTAAAAATTCCTCTGCAAATTACCCGCCATATTTTGCCAAACAGAGGTCATGTGATAACATTAGTCCCCTGCAACTCAGCATCTCTGTGATTTACGGTTGTATTTTTCGGCCTCTCTCCCAGTTCAGAGTTATGGAGGTTGCGTTGGCAGTTATAAAAGAAAGTTCTGACAGCATTTTGAATGCAGGAGGAGGATCATCTCTCTACACAGCATGGAGACACGTTACTGGAAAAAGCAAGCTCAAATCCATTAGAAGAGCGAAATCTCAGAAGATGATGAGATGGATGATGTGTGACAATATGAAACAGAACTGGTGCTGTTTGTTTGAAGCCCACGTTTAAAAGAAAAATGGAGGTGAACACCATACATCACCTCTATAAGTGCTTTGTGGTGTTTCTGTGTTGTGTAGCGTGGAGGTAGAAATGACTGTGAGCATCATATGGAAAGGATAATGTCAGGAAATTGGAATGAAATACAGACTTTGCTCATCCTGTGCAGTGTGTCACACAAAACACAGACGTGGGGGGTGAATTTTAAATCACTTGAGGTCTGCTGGTAAATGAATAGGGCTAAAGTTTGCATAACAAAATGTCAGAGTAGAGATTTAAAGAAATAGTGTTGAACAAAAGACACTATCCAGTTGCATTATGGGAAATGTAGGATCTGTTTCTTATACTCCGAACATTCAGGATATTGAGAAGGAGTATTAGTGCCAGGCATGAGATTTAAAAACAAAATTGCATAACAAGATTTGAAATGTTAGCATTACCTCATATGGTCACCTCACTTCAGAATTGGTTTAAGTAACAAGGAAGTTATTTATCTTTTTGCAAAGAGGCACAGCATGGTAAAAGTATTGGGATTTTGAAGAGATTGTGCCAAAAAATGCGTCTGATCAGAGGGAAGAAACTCACAAACTTGTAAGAGGTGACCTCATTCGTGCAGTCTGCAATAGCTTTCCATAGACAGATGCAAGGGAATTAATAGTTATACCTTTGTGCAATACAGAGAGGGTATGTTGTATGATAAGACACAATTTCATGTAACTTTATTCTTGATGTTTTGACTTCACTGAAATGCAAATTAGAAAATCTTCCTCCTGATTTATTTTTTTCTTATGCCTGGTACAAACACTTAAAGTCTGACTTTATTCTCAACATTTTGACTTAATTTTTGAAATGCTAAATAAAAAAAATCTTCCTCTCATTTCCCCTCCCATGCCTGGTCCTAATATTCCTCCATATAATATCTTTTATTGGAATAAGTTTGACCAATTTATGTAACCTTGTCTCACTCCGAAGTCGCCGGCGACAGACACCTTTAAGAAAAGCTGTCCTTTAACGCTAGCATGATATGCAGCCTGTCCTTTTTATAGTTTAACAGCGCTTGGCAGCGTCAGGGGGAAACGTGGATGGACAAGAATGAAAAGACTGCGAAAATGCAAGTAGGGCAGGCAACAGGGGTGGTGGATGGGTCAAACAAACATCGACTTTCACCCAGGAGGCTGGTGTTCACGTCCCTTAAGATGGCGTTGTCCTACTGACATAGTGCTTTCATTTTGAAAGAGACTGTATGTAAACTGTAAAGTTCCTGTGAAAACAGAAGTGTATTTTGAAAGAAGACAATGCATGTAACAGACAGAAGTTGACACAGTGTCCCAGAACGTCAACAACCAACACACCCAGGGTACCTTGCACGTCATATGTGGAGCAGGAAAGTCCACGACCAAATGTCAATATGTGGCAAGGTCGGAGTGAAAATGTGTTGGATTATGTGTCTCTGTGTTCCCCAGCTTGACGGGAGTGCTACAATAAATTGCTTTAGCACCACATAAATTGATTAGAAGTGCTTACAGTATACTGTGTAATATGTATAGATATTTTTTTCTATTGTTTGGAATTGAATATTTGATTGATTTTTTTTTGTGTGGTAGTGTTTGGGGAAAGAAAAAAATATACCTATAATGAATAAATATCTAAATAAATTAAACATGTCACATGTCACTTCCCCCACTCTGCCTTTTCTTTTAAGTTTGTTTGGTGTGTTTCATATGTTTATTCATCATCTTAAAATTTCAAGAAGTCCTCCTAGCCATGCAACCACATAAGTAATATTTTCATACCTCTGAATACGACCCACAGGAGCAATTTAAAACATGTGTAACATTACGAAACAGTCACAGTTGCATAAAGACTACATGGTTAGGTTTAGAAAGTACATCATGGTTTGGCTTAAAATAAATGTTTGTCACTAAGGTAACGTAACGTATCTCTTATGTTGACAGACTACATTGTATTGTTAAAATAACTTCATTGACTTTTGGTTTCACAGGGACACAAACACCAGTCTCATGAATTAAAGTCTGGTGCTTGTTTGACCCACCCACTGTCTGTAAGCAGACTCTGTTACTCCTTATACTATGTCGCTTGACTTCCTCCTTCACTATGGCCATTAGAGGTCGCCACGCAATAAAAAGTGTAAATAAACGGTGTAATTTCTGCCTGTAAAAACACCCTGTGTAGTCGCATTTTGGAGGACAGTCTCAAAAACATTTTCTTTTCATGATTTAATTCAGTGACAGGATGCAGAACTCACCAACACAAGGGTTTGGGTGCGTGGGTGTAGCTCGATGCCACGGCCTATCACAGAAGAAATCCTCGCATACATCACAGTCTGGCCCTGCTGTGTGATGCTCGCACACACACACAGCCTGGCCTGCGTCGTCACGGCGACACTTGGAAGCGTGTCCGTTACATTTACACCTGCCGCCGACTTGTATGTCTGAGAGAGCCAGGGCAGCTCGGAGGGCAGAGGGCGGGGCCGCCTGCAGATTCCTGGAGCTTTGTTTCGCATTGAGATTATTGTTCCTCCTCTTCCTCAGTTCCCGCCCCTTGTTGTTCCTGCTCCGCCCCTCAACCGTCCAATTACAACCTCCAACAGGGCAAGGCAGCCAGTGGTTGTTTTCCTTCTTGCGGCCACGCCCTCTGGCTCTCCCACCTTTCTTTGAGGAAGTGAGCATGCTGAAACTGTCCCCTCCTTCCTTGCTGGTCACATTGTGTCCATCTTCGTCTTGATCTGACCCTTTATAATGTCCCTTCCGTCCATGTTTGTCCACTTTGTGCCTCCCCCTTATGTCTGAGTTTTTAATCTCTCTCTCAAAAAATGCCAGTGTGTTTTCTGTGTTTAACTTGTCCTGACCTCCAGTGCGACCCTTGGAGCCCGATCTCCACCTCAGAAGTCCAGTCCCTCTATCTTCCTCTGCACTGTCACGCCATCGCACTTCCTCTTTCTTATCTGGTGTACCCACTTTGGCGTCTTTAGACACATGGTGGAAGACCACACGGATATCCGTGGCCGTCACCCAGTCCTGTAGGGTGTGGCTGTAGTCAAAATCAGGCGAGGATGGCCGTCCATCCAGGGTGGAGAAGGCCAACACCATGCCGCCTCTCTGCTTCTGCAGGGGTCGAGGGTCTGAGCAGAGCGGCTCTGTCTCTTGGTGTCTCGTCTGAGCCACCGTCTGCGAGGGCATCCCAAAGTTTCCCAAGCAGTCGCTGGAGTAGTGCTGCATCGGCCTCCAGGTGCGCCCATAGTCCATCGACTTGAGGATGGAGATCGAAATAGGGTCCGACGGCTCCCCCTGTTGGCAAAACTGCAAACTTATGTATGTGATCTCAAAGCGGCGGCCCAGAGGTAGCGTGATGATCCAGTCTCCAGCGTCCGCACCTCCACGAGCCATCCAGCAGGTGAGGTTGTGGGGGTTGTGGAGGTCCGTCAGGGTGGTGATGTTGCTGTCATAATCGGAGCCTTGTAGAGAGTGGCTGGCATTGGCCGGGATGCCATAGGCAGCGTTGATGAACTCTGACAGGCAGTGCCGCGGGCGGCCGTCTAGGTAGTAGCAGGGGTCGTGAGGCGAAGTCCAGCTCAATGGGGTGTGGGAGAGAGAAGAGGAGACGAGGGATGGAGGGAGGAAAAGGAGGAGTAGAAGGAAAATGGGGAAGAGAGAGGTGGACGGGGGAGGGGAGAAGGGCAGGAACATCATGTCATCGAGCCTGTGGAAGAAAAATAAGATGATGTTTAAAAGAAAACCATGGGAGTGAGATCATAAACGGAAAAAAAAAAACACAAACTGATTGATTTATATGACTTGCATCTGAAGCCAGAGCAGGAAATCTAAGATAGACCACCTGTGCCTTTATTGAAAACACACCATACCAGCTCACTGCATCACTTCAACTGCACCTTATTGGCTTGCAGTATATGCCAGTAAAGATCTCATCCCGTAAAAATGTAATCCCTGATCTTCACAGTAGTGTCAGCCACCGGTTTGAACCTGTGACCTTGACAGCCTTTAAGAACATATCTGTCTTAAAACTCCCCTCGACCCCGAGAAGAGTGGATGAAGAAGGGCGCGCACCCAGCGGGTCTGTCTGAAATGACAAAAAACATGCCCGACAGCTGGGGCTAAACCCCGAGCTGGACCACATCCATCACGTTTATGGCCCTCCTTTTCAAATCACTTTACCGTCGGTCAGTGCTGCAGGCGAGCGAGGGGCCTGAGCATGAGCGGTGTGAAGTGTTATCGAGCAGAATGAGAAAAAGAAATGAGGGGAAGGAGAGGAGCTGGAGATTAGTCTTGAGGATGGTAGGAGATGATTTATAGATCGAAATGTGTGTTCGGCTTGAGCCCCTACATGGAAACTTCCGTGGTAAAGACAAACACGGACTTGTGTACGTCCGCTGCGTGAACAAATCCCTTCCCGTCTCTTGCAACTGGTGATGAGTGTAATTTATTTCTCTTGTCAAGGTTCGATACCCGAGAGCGTTAATTTTGGCATGCGGACAAAATGAACAATGCATTCTCTGGAAGCAGTGATTTATTGTTTTCACCGCCTGGAGCACATTCCCAACAAGCACTTCTTTTATTTGTTCCTTCCTCAAAACACCTGCCACTTTTACTTTCCTTGTATCTTTCCTTCTCATCAATATTCCCTCCACATTTTCAAACAACTTTCCCTTCCTCATCTATCACCTGCCCCCTTCATTCTGTTCTGGGAATATTCTTAACTGCTGCGAGATTGATGATGCCCTAACAAGCGTTTGACACTGACAGCAAAGTCAGCAGGGCTGCATAAACCAAACCCGTAGGAGAGGACGGGGCTGAGAGCCTCTCCGGCCTCGTCATCCCGCTCAATTAGCCAACCACCGAAATATGAGGCTCCCCTCGGGGACCACACAGCTCCGAGGGGCCTGCGAGGAGGCCGTGGCACTACCTCGGACACGCTGCTCTGCTCCTGACACCGCTGTGGATCGGCCAGACCTGGGTTAGGACACAAGCCAAGATCAGGCCTGTTTGTGGTGTTGCTACAGGAAACAAGCACAGAGCGCAGCGATGAGCTCCTGTCTGTGACCCCGGTGCCGCTTGGCCACATTCCTGAGGTCCAGAATGCCTCGGCTGGTCATTCCTGACGTGTCGAGACATGCCCCACGGGAACCTGAACGCACTGATAGAAAGCAGCATTTATAAGTTGATCGGATGATTAATTAGATCTCTGGTTTCATTCGGTGTCAGTGCTCCGGCTGCATACGAAGGGAAGCCAGTGTCAAAGGGATTATGTGCAGGGTAAAGGTTAGCAGAGGATTCAGGGAAGCGGTGGAGGAATTCACTCTGGATGAGGAGCGAGCGNGGGGGGGGGGGGGGGGGGGGGGGGGGGGGGTTCAGGGTTGGGACGAGGCTACAAGAGGAAGGCGGCGCTTGTTTAACATTCCCATGACATGCACTTGCTCTTGTCTTTGTCACATTACATGACTAATTAAACATCGGCCCATTACAACCACTTTGATAAATGGATGCTCAGCGGAGCGAGGCCCCTGAGGTTTTTTAATTCGCCCCTCTAGGCCAAATCCAGACTCTCCCGAAACCAGATCATCTGTCTGGCACCGCCACCGTAACCCACCGGATATGGTTTCAACGGGTTTTCTCTGCTGCTTTCCATAAATTCACACAGCCGGGTGTCGGGAGAACATGTTGAAGACGAGCGGCATTCCTGCTAAAGTGACGTCTGATAACAGGAAAATGAGCGACTCACCAAGTCTCTTAATGTTTAAAAGACGCCGTCAACCCTTTTTCTGAGGTCTAACCCTCAATGAATACAAACTTCCATTTTGAAAAGTTTTGAAGCGACTTGGCAGCAATCTGTGTGTGTGTTCAAAAAGCTTATACAGCCAAATAGTGGTAAGATGAGATCAACATCTCCGGCGGGTGATCTTTAGAAGCAGCTATGCTTGGCTGGCAAGGGGCTGGAAAAATACTTGCTGACAACCTGGGGGCATGTTTACAGCATAGTCGAACAGAGGAGAGCGGGGAGAGCGACGCTCATGTTCGTGCTCTGCAGTCCCCGTTTGTTTCATAATGCCATTCTATATTTCATTATGCTGAAATGTGTCTGCTGGGTGAACAGAAACGAAGGCACTGTTATATGTGCAGGCTGAAGTCATTTGTCGAGCATATACATTGCCTAGATAAACTACTCACCCCCCTGTTGGAAGTTTACTCTATTGTCTTAGAACATTGAATTAAAGTGGATTTAGTGCGACTTAATATGTCAAAGTTGAGTTAGTGGCTTAAATTAATTAGTTTTCACCCTCTCAGAGTCAGTATTATACTGACTTGTAACAGAGGTGTGACTCGAGTCGGACTCCAGGTACAAATTCGATGACTTTAGACTCAACTTGATAAATGAAATTTAAATAAAAGACTTACAACTGAACTTGGACTTTAACACCAATGACTCGTGACTTCACTTGGACTTCACGTCTCCCCAATTTATTCCCTGAATTGATTAACTGACGCTATTAATTCCCAGCAAGTTGACACTTAATTTGTTTGCTTGAACCAATCTGACGGCATCAAATCAAGTCACAGGAGAAAATAACAAATGTTTAATTAGCATCCACCCCACCTTCTAAAAAAAAATCTATTATGTATCATATTTATCATATGCCAGTGCGGCTATACAGTATACTGTGTGAATATGCAATGAATAAAAGCTCCTACTGTCTATGTAAATTACACATGCAGCACAAAATAAATCACTGACACTTAACTCAGACTTCATGTGGGCTATTTTATCAATTAAACCAGTGGTGGAATGTAACAAAGTACATTTACTCAAGTACAAACATGAGATACTTGAGTATTTTCTTTTTATGCCACTTCATACTTTTACTCCATTACATTTCAGCTGGAAATGTTGCACTTTTTACTTCACCACATTTATCTGACGGCTTTAGTTACTAGTTACTTTACAATTAAACTTTTTGCAGAAAAATCTGAGTTTATAAAGTATGATGTTTTGTAACTTATTAATCTGCTCAACAGTTTATTAAAGTAACGCTGAAAATTAGCTGATTGACAGAAAATTAATTGCCGACTATTTTGATACACGTTTAAATTTTTAGAAGTAATTTTGCAGGGTTTTTTTTTTCTGCATTGGGTACTTTCACATTTTCCTGATTAGATTACACTTTTACTAAAGAATTTTATTTATTTATTTATTTTGGCATTTTGGTACTTTTACTTTTCATACTTAAAGTACATTGTCCTGATTATATTTACATAATTTTTCCTAAAGCAATTTATTTATTTATTTATTTACTTATTCATTTTTTTATGGTTCAAAATTAAAACAGTCATGACTTTAACGGTTCAAAATAAACTAAAAAAGTAGCATTAAGTGACGTTTTTCCTGCAGCACTTTTCACTTTTTAACTTTTAAGTGTGGTATTCATACTTTTACTAAAGTAAAGTGACTGAGTACTTCCTCCTCCACTGAATTTAAACACAAAAAATGACATTAATTTAAGCTGAATGCACCTATGAGCTGTGCTCTGCTAGGGTACGGCAACACCACTGGGACAAACCACACACAGAGCTTCGGCACACCACATTACACTACTGCAGTAATGCCAATTTGTTGATTATAGTTACATGATTATTTTTGACAGCGGTGTGTGTTTGCCTGTCGGAGAATAGTTTTTATTTACATTTTTTTAATCAATATATTGGAGTGGTCATTTTGAGTATATTTGAATAATGGGAGGAAAACACTCAATAGTGTACAGTATGTCTTTATAGGGGGAATAATCTCACAGGAAATGTCTTACAAATTTAAGAAGAGAAATCTATAAAAACAGTTCTCCAGTATGAGATGCAATGTCAACACTACTTTTTATGATAAAGTTTAGCTGCACTTGTTTTGCAAAACTTGATTTAACAAATAAATACAAATTTTAAAAAGCATTCATGACTTTTGTAAATGTAATGTATTACTCCTCTGTGATTACAATGACATTACATTTGGTGGAGAGCGCATTCTGACTCGTATAGAACTTGAAATTCAAAGTTGAGGACTTGGGACTTAAGTGCAAAGACTTACTTGTGACTTGCAAAACAATGACTTGCAGTGTATTTTTACGAGTACTGTGGTGTTAAACAGGACTAATAAAACAGAGAAAATGTTCTGAGATCAGAGACGACGTGAGATGGAGCATGAAGGAGCGTAGGTGTAGATTTCAGGGTGGACGCACGGGACATGTCCCCCTCAGTATTTAGAACGAATGCATTTGTCCCCCTCTATAAAACACGGGAGTAGCAGCAGACTTTTATTTTGACAAAATTAAACACATTTACACCATAAACTGATGCAGAAAAGTTAACCAGAGTGCACATGCATATCATATTTGTCCCCCCAGTATTGAAACAAAACCTACACCTATGCAAAGGAGATTTTTATTTGCATGTTTGCAGCAGTGTTGCACACGTGTCTATTTGTTTTTAATTATTGCTTTTGTTTTCTGTCTATATTTCTTGTACAGCATGTCTTCTGTTGCCTTTTTTAAGAAGTGACAGTAAAATAAGATCACCAAGACGTAGCAACATGATCATTTATCAGTCTTTTACGCCACAAATGTACATGTTCACAGCTTTATTCTGCTGCAACAAACTAAACTGCTGTGACTTAAACAGGAAACGTTGTAGCTGAGACCGAGGGCCTTTCTCAAACCACCCCCTGCACCCTCATCCTCCCCGCTTCCCTCCTCTGTTCCTGCGGTCACACCGAGGGTCCTGCCGTCCCCAACCAACTAGCGGGGAGTGGAAGTGGCTCATAAAACCCTGCCGATTTACTGACCATGTGCGACGGCGTACTGTGTTCATCACGGAAGAAGCTCTGCACATATAAAGTTCAGTGTGACTGCTCTGTAACAGCTCTCCCACTTCACTGCTGTGTGTTTTTATATTTTTATCTTCTTTTTACCTATTTTCTGTTTCCCTATGTGTGCCTGTGTTTTTGTATGCCTTGTGTAATAAGCTCCTGGGTGCCTAAATGTCCCTCTGGCTCATTAATAACCTGTATCTATTCATTTATCTATCCTCCAAGAACTGGCACCTAAGAGTGTAATCAGAGGACTGTAGGACATCAGACTGTAGATGGTTTGTAAGGCAGGGGACGACTTCACCTGCGTCTTCAACAGCTTCAGCTTTAGTGGGAAATTACATACTACTGAATCTGCACATGATTTTTGTTTCTTCTTTGTTTGGCAAATGGATGAACGTTTGCAGACTGGAAGAAACACTTTTTATTTATAGTTTATTACGCAGTGGTTTCAGTGGTTCAGAGATCAAATTAGCTGGACTAAAATGAGTTTGACACCTCTGCCTTTGTATTTAGGATCAAACATATTCTTCTGTAGTGTCTAGAAAACAGCGGTCGTGTTCATTTGATTTTTAAGTGTTGTATTTTTTTTTTTTTACAGGAACTGTTGCAAAAAACAAGCAGCTTATAAGCATTAAAAGTGAGCAGAGGTTTGCAGGAAAAAAAAGAAATGTCACCAAAGAAGAGCAGGAGAAAGGAAGCTTAGGGGTAATTTTAATTTCAATTTATTCATTTTTATTTTATTATGACTATTTCTTTTAATTTATTGAGTTATTTATTTCTTTTACTGACAAAAAAAATTCTGGTACATGGCAGCACGTAGCCTACAGATCAAATTTAAGTTCGACAAATACATAAAATTGAATTAAACTTTTTTTTCTTTTTTTTTTAATAGACTTAAATTTGAGTTTGGTGCAGAGTTACAGCTGACGTCTCCCACTCTGAGCCCTCCCTACTCTCCCTTCCAAGATCGACATATACACGCACATTAAACTACAGCAAAGACTGGACAAAAGTACTGTCTTCAATAGACTATATATGTTAATACAAAAAAGAAAAAGACGTGAGAGAGGTCAGATTGTAAATTCTCCTCTTCAATGTCTTGTTGCTATAATTATAGTCGTTAAAGGGGCACCAGTATGTTGTCATATTAATGTTTAACTCAAGCAAAGGACAGCGTATCTTGGTTGTATAAAACTTTGTCTGAGAATATTTTAAAGAGTGCTCATCATCTCTGATCCATGGCATAAATGAGGCTTTGTTGATTTCCAGTTGATATGGCCGGTTAAGTTCACCTCTGAAGCTTTATTTTACATGGTTACGAAACATTACGACATACGTTCTTTATCCACCACAGAGAGGGAAGTTTGTGTCAAAGCTTGCTGCTGTATTTATACCGTACACCAACGCTGGAGCCATATGTTTGATCACTGGTATCCCGCCACGCCGCTAGGTGGCTTACGTCACTGGCTGGTGTTTAAGTTTAAACGTATATAGCTGTATTTACCGGAAGTTACACAGACATTACGGACAGGAGTGGGAGTCATTTTCTGGGTACACGTCCAAACAATTCAGCCAATTAGCAACCAGTAGCGACTTAAGTATGGGTTCGTCACGACAACCAGTGGTTCTCGAATGGTGCGCTAACCACTAATTCATCTGGACCTAAACAAACGTTATGAATTAGTTTTTAACCGACTGTATCAGCGTGTTGTGCGTGCTCATGTCCCAATAAAGAGGCAAACAAACTCTGGCTAAAAATTGTTATTTAATTCAATTAAAAACCCTTTCACAGAGAAGCTATTTGTCGCCATTCGTGCATGGGAATTATTACTGTGTGACACACCAAAAGCGAAAACTACTTGTCTTGTTTTTATTGTCTTACATCGTGTTCTAGAAGCTAATGTGCACAGATTTAAATACAGTTGTGCCTCGAGATTTTGGCGTGCCCTACACCTTCATAAAGGGAGCTTCATTCGGCTGTGAAGGTGACTACAAATGACCTGTGTCTCAATTCTTCGAAGGCTACATTGCAATTTGATTACGTCACATCGGCGCGACCAAGTCTGTCCCATTTCAAAGGCTCCTTCAAACTCGGCCGAGAAACTCAACATTCTTTCCCAGAATTTGGAGGATGCAGCGGATGAAGCCTTCGTGGACCAGCCTATCCCAAGATGTTAACTAGCTAACGGTTAACTGTTGTTAACATTTAGCTACTATTAGCTAAAAGCACACAGCTTAAAAAAAAAACGGTCCAACAGCCTGAAATATATCAAACGGCGGCGGTGAATCGCCTCCTCTAGTATTAAATAAAAAATATATATAATAAGAATCTCTGGGTCCATGATTTAGGGCGAACTAACTTACTAGCTTACTCCTTTTTTCGTCAGGCGCAGCTGGTTGCTAGGTAACGGGAACACCGGGGCTAGAACAACTGGTGACGCAACCAGGAAATTCTCAGAGACAGAGACCGTTCGGTTTGGCTGATGCAGTCTTCAAAGGACGCGGCCGACGTCGACTGCGAAGGCTGCGTCCTTTGAAAGCTGGGTTCGGTTCGGTTTTGGAAAGGCCCAGATAGTGTGTAAAATGAGTCGCATCCCTACGCTTATTCTGCTGCATTGTAGTGCGTCTAATGGCCTTACCAGTAAGAAAGTTTGTGACCCAGTCGCCATGTTGGAAACAATCGAGCTGAAACAAAACAGGCGGTGAGCAAGCGTTCTCATATTACAGCTAAACAGTACACTAAGGTGAGAAACAGGCAATGCAGTGACAGAAGCTTGATTCACATTTGATCAGTGCTGCCTTCATGAGCCGTGATTGACAGCTGTGTTAGAGAATCCTCTGCTCTGATTGGCTGCTTTTGGTGCGTCACAGCTGATTTTAATAAATGCTATCAGAGGCAGAAGGAAGAGGAGGAAGGACGTGAGTTTTTCCACAGATATCCTGTCAGCACGTCGTGACAGTTGCAGCAAATATGACAAGTTCTTTTCCCAAAAGCAGCTTTAAGCTCTGACAATAAAGCGTGGCAGCCCGGGGTGTGTGTGGTATTCTCTCTCGCTACCTGTTAACTCTCTTTGGCCTGTTCACACTTCGGAGCTGTGGGCCTGTCTGGCTTTATCGGAGCTGTTTCTGGTGAGCAGATGAGCTGGATTTGGCCCGTCTCACACGTTTTAACATTCCTCGTCATGGCCGAGCAGCGCTGGCCGGCGATACGGAGGCAGATACGTTCGATTTCAAACTGTTTTGCTGCTCTGCGACGAGCTTCCAAAGACTAAACAACAAGGTTTGGGTAAATAAACACAGGTCAATAGTCGCTGGGAAGATTTCCCAGGGTTCACTGCAGCAGCTCTGCACGGAGCCTTTAAATAAATCTGATCAATTATATAAGCTCTCTGCGTCGTAGCCTACATGTTTGAAGCCGGACCAAAGCACCTGTTGGCGCATGTTACCACACTGACACCTTTGTTAATTTGCAATTGTCCTCAGTCGCTCAGAAATACAACACTGGGCTTTCGGGTACGTCTGTATTCTCAAACTGCATTCCTGCCGGCACAGTCGAAGCCCATCTGTGTGTTATTCCACACGGAGCAGATTCCACCCGTTCTGTTTTAGGTGTAATAATCTAATTTTAGTGGGGGCAGCCCGGGAGGCGAGAGCAACAGACAGCACAAAATGGATTATCACTGCTTGTATCTTTAGCTAAAGGCCTCTGTCCTTCACGTTTGCACCTCCAACAAAACGCCCAATCCGGTGCATGTGCACGGGGGGCCTCCAGGGGCCAACTGCACCTCTCTGTGCCTCTGCACTGACCCATACAGCCTGCTAACTTCATTTTTTAAATAAAAAAACACATGTTACCCACTTGATATTTAAAAGTTTCCTGTCAATCCCCCCCCAACCGCCACCTCCACCACCTCCTCCTCCACCCCTTCACAGCCACACACAAGTTGGCAAGCCGCTCTCCAGCAGCTCCGGCTTCACATGTTGATATTGAAAAACAGATGGAAATGAAATCATTGTGATTTCATGTTGCAGTCACGCCAAGGACAACCTCGGGCACGGTGGAAATAAAAGTAGAGCCTGTAGGCTGTAATTGCTTGTCAATTAAATCCAGAGAAAAATGTCTTACAGAGGAAGGGGGGGGGGGGGTTAATAAACAGGAAAACACAGGAATACTCCGGGGCTGCAGCCTTTATGAGCACAACAACAAATAAAATGCACCCATAATTTTTCCGTTGGCTGATTTATTATTAAAATGATAAGAAGAAGGAAATAAACAGTCTGTTTTGAATAAGTCGCACCACCCAAAGGCTAGATGCATGACTGTGAGGTGTAGCTACGCCCCTGTAAAGTAAAGTAAAATAAATAAAACCCACCTTAAATGTCTATTAAAGTAAATACGGTAAAGTTTCTCTCTGCAGAGGGATTTTCACACAAACTAATCAACCACAGACCTTAAAAGGAAAACAGCCCGCAGTCACACGCACTTCAACTCTGCGGGCGTTGCATTTAATGAACCCGGGAATAATGATGCACTCACCCACGGTTCATTAAACATAAATGTTTATCATATTTAGTGTGATTACTTTGGCAAGAGTTAAACAGCGGAGCCCGGAGCCTAATTGCCTCCACTCTGCAGAGCTAATTGCACTTGTTAGGCACAAATTGGCTGCAGTCAATTGGCTTTATCTCACAGGAGAGGAAAAATAATATTTACAGAGGTGGGTTATCACAGTTTGATCTGAAAACTTCACTCAGAGGGTTTGAAAAAATCTTGATTATTAGTCATGTGTGTTTGGCTATACGAACTTTTATTTTTTCCAAATTTAAATCCAGTCAAACTAATTAAAGTAATGCAGTCTGAAGTGAAATTTTTTTTTAAAAAAAAATATAAATAAATAAATAAATCCTAAAAAAATCTTTCAATTATATTTGCTTGGTATATCTTATGGAGAAAAAATTACAAACATTTTTTTAAAACAACTGCCATCATAACGCGTACCATGGAAGGTTAAAACACGCATGTTTTCACGTTTTATTTTTTTTTAATTAGCTCGCAACAAAATGACAAAATCAAACATATATGCGTAAAATTACTCCTAATTAAATCATAATAACGGTGGGATTGTCCAAGAAGCATTTTCATGTTTATAACACTTCTTATAGTTAATTAATTTTAAGGAAATTCGGTTTTAGATTTTAAAATGAAAGCGTCAACTTTGGATTTATGAGCTGTAGGGAAAATAATTATATATCACAAATAAGATTAAGGCACACGTATCCATTTAGCCTACTGTCTAAATAAATTTCTGCACTAAAATCAGTCAAATAAAGTAGAATAAACTTAAATTACTAAATATTTATATATTGCAAAAATACAAAATTAAGTCTGATAGACGCACATCGGCTGGATTTCTAAGGATAAGTTGAGCAGCGATGCCATAAAAAAATACCAGGCTACTTAATCCGTTTAATTATTAGACCAATTACAAAGTAGTGATGAATGCGTGTCTTTTATGGCACATTTTGCAAATAAATTTCGATGATTTTCTGCCGTTTCTTTGCCCTCCGTGCCAAAAACACAAGCTCACTCTGTCCTGCCGTTCATTTCTTCTCTTTACGCGCGACTTCAGCGCCAGATGAAACCTCCCAAACACCCCACAGAGTCCACGCAGAGCCAATAAACTCTCAGAAAGAGGAAGAAATAAATCAACTCACCATGTGCCTCCCAGTGATTCTCCTTCTCCTCACTTCTCCTGCTCCTCCGGATCATTAAGAGAAGCGCAGCAGCAGCAGCAGCAGCAGCAGCAAGTGTCCACACATCCAGCTCCGGCGCGTCTGCTGCAGAGGAGCAGAGCAAGAAGACAAACCTACCGAGAGAGGGCAACACACCGGGTACTGGAGGAAGAGGAGGAGGAGGAGGAGGAGGGAGGGAGGGAGAGGGGAGGAAGATAAATTAACGGGATCAGCTGGGAAGTGCGTCTCTGCATATAGTAACTGAAGTGAGCCAAGTGCTCCCACCTCCAGGGGAGTCACATCCTGCTTGACGCGCAGCCAAACCAACTCACATGGCAAAATGTATCAAACTCAAACAAGCAGGGTGTTTTCTATTAAACAGAGTCTCACAGGTGGAGGTTCAGAGGGGGGGACGCAGGGGACACGTCCCCCCCTCAATATTAAGAACATGTGCATTTGTCCTCCCCAATAAGAGGATCATCATAAGAAGTCATTTGCACCATAAATGGCTCCAGAACAGCCACAAATTGAAGCATAAACATTCACCAGAACTCAAGAAAATTAAGTTTGATGCTCAGATTTTTTTTGGTGAAGGACCCCCCAAATTTTAAACGTCAAACATTTAATTTCCTGCATGCTGGTGAATTTTTATTCTCCAATTTGTGCCTTTTTCTGCATCAATTTATAGTGGAAATGTCCTTAATTTGTCAAAATAAAAGTCTGATTGACTTTACATACAGAACATGATCCACCTGTAGAGGCAATATCCTGCATTAAGTATACTATTATTTTTCATATTGTAAGTCACAGGTTGGACCAAGTCATTGTTTTGCAAGTCTTAAGTCTTAAACTTTGAGTTTCGAGTCCTAAACAAATCGTCATGTGCATTTCACCAAATGTAAAGCCTTTTTAACAAGACAGCAATGATATATTAAATTTGCAAAAAGTATAAATGCTTTGTTAAATTTAGATTTATTTGTTTAAAGAAGTGCAACTGAACTAAATCATAATAAAGTGGTGCTGACACTGCACTTTCATAGCATACAGAACTCTTAACCACACCAGAATAAATGTTGTGTTTCCGTAACTGTCTCCTCAAATATTGTTCAATTGGTATATTGAAAAATGTCTATTTTTTTCCTGAATTTGAAAGACTTCTTCTATAAGACTATTCTTCATTTGAGGTTAAATTGTCAGCTATGTTGTTGCGTGTTTCATATTTTATGTTAAAATAAATGAAAAGATAAATGTTATTATTTTTCAAACTGGTGCTCAGTAATGTAACTTTACTCTTAACTTTTCATAGTTCTGCATACATGAAAGTACAAGGACAAAATACAGAAATACAGAATACAGATATAATACAGAAAAGGCACAAACCAACAATCAAAGTTAAGGTTTGAGGGGAAAACAGTCCTTATTTGTCATTTATTAAGTATTTAACTCATAGAAAAGTCACTTAATTAAGGGCTATAGATGACATTGCCATGACTGTAATCAAAACCAACCAAATAACCATTATGTTGTAGCGGTAGCTAGAAACTTCTTGTTTCTCAAAAATGCTGTAGGTGATGTCATGTTTAGGCACAAAAGCCACTTGGTTATGGGTTATGAAAAGATCATGGTTTGGCTTAAAACACCCATGTTCGGTGGTTGCACAAAAGTTGCAGCGACGGTCTGATAAAACACTAGAAAATGCTGTTGGTGACACAAACACCACTGGGAAACGGGTCACCAAAAAAGACAATCAGTGATTTTTGTTTGTCTTGAACAATGGTCGGCAGCTTGGCACCTATCCCACCCGGTCTCAATCTGAAGTTGCCCAAATCCGGCACTTGAGCAGTGACCTGAAGCAGACGCCATCGGACAAAGCCGTCCTTTCCTGTCAGCATGCTACGCGGCCGTCACCATTGTAGGTTAAAGATGCTTGGTAGCATCGGGGGAAATGTTGCGGAACAAGAACAAAAGTTAGGGTGGAAGAGGTGATGGATGGGTCCAAGAAAAACCAGGTAGAGTGGTGTTTGCGACAAACCCTGTTCTTTTTTCCTTAACCTAACCACATGCTTTTGTTGCCTAAACCCAATTACGTGCATTAGGAAAAAAATGTCAAATCTGTTGTACCAAGTCCGACTGCGGCGGGTGGGAAAAAACCTATATTCACGAAGTTGTACCAACGTAGTGTGTTTATTTTTGAAAGAAACTATACGTAAACATTAAATTTCCTGTGAAAACAGAAGTGAACTTTGAAGGAAGACAATGCATGTAATAGGCAGAACTTGACACGGTGTCCCAGAACATCAACAACCAATGCACCCAGGGTATCTTGCATGTCATCTCTGGACGTAAAAAGTTCATGACCGAACGTCGGTATGTGACAAGTTTGGAATGAGAATGTGTTGCACTCTACCTCTCAATGACAAAATCAACCCATATACTATGTCACTTTAGAAACGCTGATATTATACATATGAAACATACAAATCTAACATATTTGTAGTTTGCAAAAATGTACGGAGCAGACGTTTTCTACTGGTGACTGGGTTGTATATTGATTAAATGGTAAGGGGCCTAACACAGATCCTTGGGGTACTCCTATTGACTTGAATTACAATTTTCCTTGCATGGTTTTCAAAACGTACAATACAAACGCTTTCTTCTGGTGACTGGGCTGCAAACTTCTGTTCAAATATTGCCAAAATCTAATTGGTGCATGGAAATGTGTGGCGTTAGCTTGTTCCAACCAAGGCCCAAATGAAAAATCGCTCAGTTGAAATGACAAAAACTGTTTAAAATTTGGCAGAAAATCCTGTTTCCTGTTCTTGTAGGATCCTGTTGCTCACAATAAGAAGCTCATTGAAGAAATTCATTTTCAGGGTCTTAATGTATGAGTAAATACTTCTTCCACAACTGGTAACACATTAACGTCACTTGATGGCACGCTGAGTGTCATAATTTATCTGAAAACAAACCATTTCACTGTATTTGTTGTTACAAGCTCTGGAGAAAATCAGACAAACCAACGTCAACACACTTGAGGGGAAACAGTTCCTGAAACAGGTTGATCTGCCTCAGATACAACTTTCAAGGCAGTTTTTTCCTCTTTAAAACAAAACTGGAACTAAATTCAACATTTCACAGCTTGTTAAAGACATTTTTTACCTTGTGGAGATCCTCCACCCTCAGGTTTATTACCACTGGCGGGCAAATTGAGCACACAGAGGAAAGCCAGTTGTAATAGCCTTTATCTTGTACCGTCCAGGCAAAGATCTCACTCCCCAGTTTGCTCCAATTATCCCTCAGTGGAATAAAAAAAATGGTTGAAGTTAATTGGCTGGAGTGGATCGTTCTCAGATGTGAACCAAAACTGATACAGATGGAAATATAAGAAAGAGGATCGAGGAGGGCGGAGGGAGGGAGGGAAGACGCTTGATTGGAGAGGAGGAAACTTTCCCAGAGAAAGCCATAAAACTGATTGATGACTTCCCTCGAGGAATGTTTCCCCAGGTGTGCTTTGTGTGTGTGTGTGTGTGTGTGTGTGTGTGTGTGTCTGAGTGTGTGTGCGGCAGTTACAGTGCAGTTAAGAAATGCTATCCTTGGACGCAGGACAAGTGCAATAAAGTAAATTGAGCTGTGAAATGGCACGTTTATGCGTCAATATTGCACTTTGGCAGCATAAACACAAAGACACAAGAGATTTCAGAGAGCTGAGGCGGAGGGGGGATTAAATTGGTGCCATTTAAAGAATGATTTAAGTAACACAAATTGATAACAGAAATCATTGCTAAAAACGATATGAGGAAAAAGTTTAAAGGCTTAATAAAACACCTCAGGTGGTCCTTGACAGGTGCCGTGCGCTGCCAACGTTTGCACCCTGCAGCTAGGAGTGTGCTGAGAGACTCAAATCATAATAAACAAAATACCACAGAGGTGTAATTATAAGAGTCAACATTAAGCCACCATGACAGAATAAGAGCAGATTTCACAATACATGGGCGTCGTCTGTTTGATGGATTAGCTGTGCTTAAATATTCAACAAGTGCAACAATATGGCTTTGTACTCTGGTTTAATGATCAAATGTGAACGTGAAGATGCAATTTATATAAAACATATTCATTTGCACTCACAGCATACATTTATTTCTAATTACAGAAGCAAAGAAACACCATGAATGCTCTAAATGAACCTGAAATGCATCTTTTGGCACCACAAATGGGAATGATGTGTCATCGTCTGATTATCTGAAATATGGCTGTGGCACATTAACAAGTGGTATTAACTCTGCAAGGGAAAGATTTATTGTACAGGCAGACAGTAGTGATTCACCCCAGTCCAATAAATCTCTGCGGTGCAGATGGTATGTAGAATTAAAAAGACTTCAGAGACTGTGTTATTTTACAACTGAGGTTAGCTAAATCAGATTTTTATCTCAATATAATGAAGGGGGCAAAAGGTAACAGTAAATGAATGTGGAAGCATTTTCATAATCTTTTAAGGAGTGTCCCAAATTTACAACTTGGAGCACGAGAAATATTAATTGACGACAATGGGTGTACCCCAAGGATCTGTGTAAGGCCCCTTACCATTTAACTAATATACAACCTAGTTGCCAGAAGAAAATGTCAGCATTGTACATTTCAACATATTCTAACTCCGACCTCGTCACATATCGACGTTTGGTCATGGACTTTCCACGTCCACATACAACGTACAAGGTATCCTGGGTGTGTTGGTTGTTGGCATTCTGGGACATCATGTCAAGTTCTGCCTGTTACATGCATTGTCTTCTTTTAAGATACACTTCTGTTTTCGCTGGAAATTTAACATTTACATACGTCACGTTTCCCTATGACGCTTCCAGGCACTGTTAAACTATAACACCAACCAGCCGCGTACCATGCCGACGTTTAAGGACACCTTTTTTCACTGGTTTCTGGCGCCGCAAGTCACTGCTCAAGTGCTGCATTTCGAGTGTGACCGGGCTTAACGTATACCTTCCATATTACAATAACACAACCGAAAGTAATACTGGTCAGAGACTCTTCCTAAAATAAATTAAAATAAAATAAATAAATTAAAAAATAAAATAGAATAAAATTAAACAAAATAAAAAGTAAATGAAATAAAATAAAGTGAAATAAAATAAAGTAAAATAAAACAAAATAAATTAAAACAAGCAAAGCCTACCTGTAAATTAAAGTTAAAGTAAATTAAGTTGAAATGAAGATTCAAAAAGGAAATAAATAAAAATGAAATCAATGAAAAATACAATTATGTATGCTGACGACACTGTTATATACACATGTCATACAAATAATCCAAAATTGCGGGTAAAAGGCAAATATAATACAATATATATAATTCCACAATAATAGAGAAACATGATCTTCAAAGCTCTGAGAATTTTAGATCATATTCAAATTGGTCATAGATAGCAAAAAAAAACAACAACAACAAAGGGATAAAGAAATAACTGTGCCACAGTAGTTACACCCACGCTGTGTTAAAGTCTTCAAGCTGATGTTTGGACCAAACTTTTAGCACAGGAGCATCTTCTGAAAAACTTAATCAATTAGGGTAAAGAAATAAGCACAAATTACTGTGTGTTTTACTTCAAGATTTCAAGGCTCAGAAGTTGTAAGAAGATCCTTTACTAACGTGGAGGTGTATCTCACATGTCTCGCTCATTTCAGGGGTCGCCTCCCGTCATCTGAGTAGATTTTCAAGGAGATCATGTTGCCTCCCCTCTGACCTTCTCCAGTGTGCGCAGCAGCAGTGTGGAGAGGAAGGAAATGACGGACAGACTTTTAAAAATGAACTGTCCTGGACCCTGAAACAGACTTATTAACTTTGGTCCGGATGATGGACACTTACATTTAGATGTTTTATTTATTTATTGTGACTCTTCAACAATCCACAGGGAGCATTTTGTTGCTGGTAACTATGATGTTTTTGTTTTAATGCAACAACGAGACAGATGTCTGTAAAACAAACCTTGACTGAAGGCTTTGGCTTTTAAACATGGTTGGCAAAAAGAGCAGACTGGAAAATTATCCTGGTTGCCATGAATCCAAATGTTTTTGTTTTTCCAAGCCTCCCTGACTTTGACGCGAGTGTTGACAGGTGCTGGATGGAGATGGGGAGCAGACAGTTGTTGTGCAGCGAAGGAAAACTCACCAATAAACCGCAACTTAACCTGCTTTGCTAAGGGATCGAAGATCAAGAGGAAGAAAAATCCGTCTAAAGCAAGCTAGAAATCCAGATATTCCAACAGGAATTCATCAGGCCACACACAATAGCAACCTACACACCAGAAAATATGTTGGCATTGTAAGTTTCTGCAAACCACAAATATGTGAAATATGTATCACATGTAGCAAATATGTTGAAACTTTACATTGAAACATTTCATTTTTCAGTTTTATGTTGTGACAACACTATGGTTAATATATGGTTATGTTTAGGCAAAAAAAACACTTGATTGGGGTTAGGAAATTATCTTTTTTTGGCTTAAAATAAGTGGTTTGGTCTCACAAAATGTCTGGAAATGTTTTAATGTGTTAATATAAATACCTGGTCTTGTTGCCACAAACACGGCTGTTAATCCCCCAACGTATCGTTTCCATATACCCCGTTTTCTCTGCATAAACATGACTGGAAATGTCCCAACAATTTCTTAAAAAAATACCCATTTTTGTTGGCACAGAATGGCTAGAAATGTCCTGAGGCATCACTGGAAAAATACCCAGTTTTGTTAGCACAAACATAGTTGTAAATGTCCCAGCATCTCATCAAAAATATCCAGTCATATCGTCACAAACATGGCTGGAAGCATTCTGACTTCTCGTTAAAATACTAATTTTTTGTAGCAACATGTGGCCAGAAATGACCCGACAACTGATTAAAAGATAATCGGCTTTGTTGCCACAAACAAAGCAGGAAATGTCCTGATATCTTAGAAAAAAAACTTAGCTTTGTCATCACAAACACAGCTGGAAATGCTCTGACATGTTGTTTAAAAAATACCTGGTTTTGTCCCCACAAACACAACAAAAAAATGTCACTAGGTCTTGTTTAAAAATACCAAGTTGTGTCATCACTAATATGGCTAAAAATGCTCCGACTTCTTGTGAAAAATTACTCAGTGTTATTACAGCAAATGTGTCCAGAAATGCCCTGGTGTCTCATGAAAAAAAATACCCAGTTCAGTGGCCACAAATGCAGCAGGAAATGCTCTGACATGTTGTTAAAAAATACCCGGTTGTGTTGCCATAAACAGGACTGGAAATGTCCCGACATCTCATGAAAAATATCTGGTTTTGGAGCCACAGACAGAGCTGGAAATGTCCCAACACCTCGTTAGGAAAAAAAAGTTTTCTCATCACAAACATGGCTGGAAATGCTCTGACATGTTAAAAAAAAATACCTGGTTTTGCTGGAAATGTCCCGATGTCTTGTTAAAAATACTAGGTTTTGTCGCCACAAACGCAACAAGAAATGTGCCTATTTGTTGTTTAAAAATACCTGGTTGTGTTGCCACAAACATGGCTGGAAATGCTCTGACATCTTTTTTCGAAAAAAACCCCGTTTTGTCATCACAAACAGGGCTTGAAATGCTCTGACATGTTTAAAAAAAAAAATGGTTTTGTGGCCATAAATGTGGCTGGAAATGTTCTGATATCTTGTCAAAAATTCCTGGTTTTGTCACCACAAATACAGAAAGATTGTGTCGCCACAAACAGAGCTGGAAATGCCCCAGCATCTCATTTCAAACACTTGGTTTGGTCATAACAAACATGGCTGGAAACATCTCATTTAAAAAATGCCTGGTTTGTTGTTTGATGCTCTTGAACAGTGGCCTGCTGCTGTCTGTTGCTTGGCAGCCGTCTCGGCTCGTTGTCATGTCATCCACCATCCCCTCTTCCTTTAGAAACTCATCTATCACTGTGGGGCGTCCTGGTAGCGTTTGGGCCTAAGATGCAGACCAGGGACCTTTTTTAGCCAAGAGAAAGAGACACCACCTGTTTGTGCACAACATGTTGTATTTTTATCCACTACCCACCTTTACAAATTAAGTAAAAGCTCACGAATCAAAGAAGTTTTCTACTTTTCATTCTTATTAAGGTATCTGATTACAAAATCGTTCCCAGATCCCTTTTATTTTACAGTTGATCGAGAAACAAATTGAGGGGAGAGCAGCTCGTCCAATAAAAGCTCAAAAATGAAAGCTTCCACACGAACA